GAGAAAGAAGCCACCAGCTCCAGGACTCGAACCTTGGTCGGCCATGTGAGAGTCCAGTGCCCTTAGCAACCATGCCACCTGCTGGCCTCAGATGATTTTCTAGTTTTATTTATTTATTTTGTTAAAATAATTATTTTAATTTTATTTATTATTGATTGTGATTTTTTTGGGGGGGAGAGGTTTTTGCTATAGGGCGCGTGCACTCGCCAGAAAGACAGAGAGAGACAGGGAGACAGAAAGTGAGAAATCACTCCCCAGGGAGGATGGCCACGCCGCGATCCCTTCTCCATTCTCTTCTCAGGATCTTGGGCGCGCATGCACATGTGCCCGGTGTGAGTTTAAGCCACCGGGTCCAGGACTCAAACCGTGGTTTGCTGTATGGGAGTACAGCGACATAGCCATTACGCTAACTGCTGGTCCTGTGATTTTATTTTTAAGAGAGATTTTTTCCTATAGGGTGTGTGTGCTTGCTGGAAAGGCAGAGAGACAGAGAGAGAGAAAGCGAGAGATCACCCAAAAGGAATGGCCATGCCACAATCTCTTCTCCTCCATTCTCCTTGGGATCTTGGGCACACATACACACATGCCCAGCATGAGTTTAAGCTGTTGGATCTGGGGCTCAAACTGCAGTTAATTGTGGGAGTCCAGAGATCTAGCCATTATGCCATCTGCTGGTCCCTATTAATATTATTTTTGAGTTTGACCAGAGAGATACCAAGAGGGAGAGAGAGAGAAATTTGAGAAAGCACGCCATCAGGTCCAGGACTCAAACTGCAGTTGGCCATGTGGTAGTCTACCACCTTAACAACCACAACACTTGCTGGCCCTATTTATTTATTATTTAGTTTTACTTGCCAGAGAGTGTGTGCACTCAGAGGCAGAAGGAGAAGGAAAGCACACTTCCCCACTCTTCAAAGGGGGCATGAGCATGCTTGTAATCCCTTCGTTTTTCTGTCCTGCTGGGACTTTGGGTGTACATGTATATGTGCCTGGCATGTTTTCCAGCTGACTAAGGCAGAGATTTTAACCCTTGTTGGCCATACGGGATACAGCACTCTTAACCACTAGGCTCTGGGGCTCGCCCTAATTTTTTTGGTTTTCCGAGAGATTTTTGCTATAGGACATATGCAACTCGCTGGAAACACGGAGAGAGACAGAAAGTGAGAAATCACCCTCTGTGGGGGGTGGCCACACCACAACCCTTTCTCCATCCTCTTGGGATTTTGGACATGCATGTACATGCACTGGGCCTGAGTTTCAAGCTGCCACGTTTGGAACTTGCTCCATGGTCGAGTCCATGCGGGAGTCCAGTGCCTTAACCACTACACCATCTTTTGGCCCCCTGGCCCTCATTTTTACTGTCTTCTAGCTTTTGTTTTCTTTTTTGCCAGAGAGCACAAGTGTGTTCATGTGAGAGAGTGTGCACATGTGTGCGTCCCCTTGTGGAGGCTGACCATGCTGAAGTCCTTTTTTACCTCCATTTCTACATCTTGTCAGGATTCTGGACATTGTACATTTATACCTGGTGTGTTTTTCAAGCAACCAGGCCAGTATTTTAACTATAATAGGTCATGTGGGACCTGAGCCCCTGTCCATAGGTCTTAACTACTGTACTATGGGGCCAATCCACTGTGTTTTAGTTTAAAAATACCTTGTTCACGGGGCCAGCAAATGGTGTGATGGTTAAGGTGCTCGACTCTCAGATGGCCAACCACAGTTAGAGTTCTGGATCTGGAGGCCTGAAAATCAGGCCAGGTGTGTGTGCTTGTGTACCCCAAATCCCAAGGGGAGAATGGGGAAGGGATTGTGGTGTGGCCAATGTGATTTCTCACTCTTTTTCTCTGTTGAGTACATATGCCCTGTG